AGATGTTTTGTGCGATACAGTGTACGTATGAAAGATTGCTGAATGCTTCGGGATACACGTACTTGGTACGTTTATGTAAACATGACACGTTGTTTGAATGTCCATACGACCTTGAATTGTTGCATAGAAAGTAATTTTACAAAAGAAAGAAAGATGTATGGACATGTACAGACATATTTCATATATAATTATATTATGAATATGTTTATACATTTATTTATGTATGTTTCCTTTCGGAAAAAAATTACTGGCTAGCTATTGCGTATCCATGTAGTTATATTACAGCTACCACAAAAATATTACAATAATCACCTAATATTACATTTATGTGATATTTTCGCACTGTAATCGGCGGACTACAGAAAAGATAGTCCATAAATTACAAGAGTAGTAGTGCACAGATTGCAGTAACTACACGCATGTGATCCGTCGTGTGTAATAATTTCGCGCGGGATTACAATAACTACATGGATTACAATATCCAGCCAGTGATTCTTTTCCGTAAGGATTTATATATATTTATATATATTCATGCATGAAAAAGTTTTTTCTGGGTATATTTTACTTATTAAAACTTAAATATACAAATAAATTCATATACAACATATTATTTTGTATTATATTATGCTATTAACGAAACAGAACCTGCTCGATTTCTATCGTCACTGTTATCAATTACCATTAGATTGAACAGATCCTGCTATTCCTACTAGGATTCTGCTACCAATTTGCCGTCAAGGTCTTATCAACAGATCCTGCTATCACGTGCTGTCAGAATGGAAACAGAATGCGACATCAGTTGAGATCAGTCTGCTAACATTCTTTGATCAAATCTGCTGCCAATCTACCGACATTCTGCTAACATTTTGCTTACGGAACAGTCTCTGTTTAAAATTTATTGCCTTTCTTGCAATAGAACTCATATAGCAGACTCGTCTGCTCAAAATTTGTTTCTGCAGGCTTGGCTATCCGGATATGTTTCTATCACAATTTTGTTTTATTTATATAAATTATCTAGTATTCGGTGTTAAATTATAAAGTCTAAATCTTTTTAGAATTTGATAAAAACATAATAAAAAGCTTACTGCACGTTATATAGCAGAAAATCATCGATTATACTGATATAGGTTTTCTAAAGAAACATCCTGTTATTTTTCAGAAACTAACTACTGTACTTTATTAATACTGACAAAAACATAATATGTTTATTTAATTAAAGAAATAAAAATTCATAATTCATATATTTGTGGCATGTTTCTATACACGCACGTACGCATGCACGCACAACGTAAACGGTGATCTGTCCGTAAGACAGATTTGCTAATTTAATCTTCCTATTGTTGCGTTATAGTATCAAATAGCTCTATCAGAGCTGGGCGAACGTGTGTTTATTATTTATATTTAAAAAAATCCTCAAAAAAAGAAAGTGTCGCGTTAATGTTTGCGTCTTGCAGTATAAGCCATAAAGTATGCATTAAGAAACGTTTTATATTAAACCGAAAAGATTCTAGAATAGAATCATATTTATTTAAAACGAATAAAATGTACTATTAGGATTCAAGCATTCTAATTGCAGTGTTGTAAGCCGTATATTAAATACATTCCAAAAACATTGGCAAAGATTGAGTTTCTAAATATAAATTATTGTAGAGTATGGAAAAAGTGTATTAAAGTGTTTTTAACACATTTTGTTGAGTGTTTGGGAAACGTTGATAAAAATAATTTTATTAAAAAAATGTAAAGAACATAACAAGGTGTTTCATATGTGTTTTACGAAGCGATTTGAAAGCGTGTATGAACATTCAAAATCACAAAGAGTCAATTAAATAAAATTCAATAATCCAGCAAACATTAAATTTCTTCGTTTATACTTCTTTAACATTCGAGAAGCTGTCGATTTTTTATCAAGGTGAAAAATAATTGCATTTAGAATATTTACATTTACAAACATGTCTGTCCAACATTTTAAGGAGATTATTAAATTAGAAATCACTTCCTAACATCACGGCAAAAAATTTTCACTTACTTCGATATCAGGCACATCCTTGCTTAACATCGGTTTCAACAATGCCATTTTTTGGAACGAAGTAACACACGACTCAATGTAACAGATTTGTGCGCCGAATTGACGACTGAGAAACCGGTGTAATGAGTTGAATTGCGAGAGTAGATTGTGAAATAACAGGTAATTAAAGCAACTCGCTTCGAATTTATCTACCAGAGAGCGGAGAGATAGCGGAATCTCGAAAACTACGATTCACTTCGACAGTTGTGCCTGTACTGAGCTTGGATGCTTTAGTGACTCACTTTATGACGTAGTACCACGTCAACACTCTCAGATAATCTCGTACTGCAACAATCAGTAGAAAAGATATCTGGAAGCGCTAAAGTATCCAAATCAGGATGGTCAATCTATTTGTCTGCTATTATGGAGATTAATTTAGTGTGATACTATATTAGAATTTCATTGTAAACGCCGTTTTACGTTTTTATATGTGTCATAGACTTAAAGAAGCAAAAGTGTTGTCAAAAATTTTAAAAACCGAAAATAATACAATAAAATAACAACTGTACTTTACTAAAATTTATTTTTTATACTTGCACTCTTTAGCTGCATTTATTTTGCTCGTTTTGTGCTACATTATTAACTTTTAAAACGAATGTAAAACAGAACACACTAACGAAATAAACTTTGTTAAACAGAAAAATTTTTTTTACTTTCAATGCAAAAGAAGATATAAGTAAATTAAAATTACGAGCTCCTTTCTTTTTAATTCTGTAACATAGGCTGCATTCAGCAGAACATTTATTTTGCAACTATTTCGGAAATTTTCTTCGCGCTGATTGGATTATATTTTTAGATCTAGAAGAATAATTTTATCTCTGCAATCATAAAACGATTGTAAAACTGTTGTGTTCTACTAAATACAGCCTATGTTACAGAATTAAAAGCAAAAAGAAATTTGTAATTCTAATTTACTTATACTTTCTTCTTTTGCGTTCAAAACAAAATTTTTTTCTATTTAACAAAGTTTATTTCATTTACTGTGTTCTGTTTTACATTTATTTTAAAAGTAAATAATTTAGTACAAAATTTTTAATATTTGACCGCACTCTTTTTTATTTAAGATTATGGCACATATGGAAACGTAAAGCGGCGTCTATAAAGAGATTTCAAAGTATAAAACCCGGTAAAAAATTGTGCATGAATATGTATAAATATGTATAAACATACATAAACACGCATAAATATTATAAACATATATAATTAATTGTTTCTAAAATTTTTATTTGTTCACAAAAGTGCATGTAGGCATTCGAGCTGTAGGCAATAATACATGTAGGCAATAATACATGTAGGCAAAAGTAACTCCGTTTCTAAAATTTTTTATTTGTGTGCAAAAGTGTATGTAGGCAATCGATCTGTACGCAATAATACTTGTAGGCAATAATAAATGTAGGTAATAATTCATGTAGGCAATAATACATGTGGGCAATAATACATGTAGGCAAAAGTAACTCCGTTTCTAAAATTTTTATTTGTGCGCAAAAGTGCATGTAGGCAATCGAGCTGTAGACAATAACATATGTAGGCAATCGATTTGTAGGCAAAGAAGATGTAGGCAAAAGGTGCTGTAGGCAATCAATTTGAAGGCAAACGGGGCCTGCCCGAGTTATTTTATCTTTATTATATTTACTAGATCCAGAATGATAAAATTAATTTTAAACCTCGGGGGAAAATCCGAGCGCGTTCGCTTGTAACATATTGTTGTATTTGCTCTTAGTTTCAAAGAAATATCTTTTGAAAGCAGTATTAAATTAAATTTTCAATTTTTATAATTTTGAAAAAAATTAATAATTGTTAATTATTAAATAGCTTAGCTTCACTTGCCTTTAATTATTGTAAGTAATTCAATTCTTATGAAGATATGCTTGAAGATATGCCAGAAGATTTTTTTCAATTTTTGGAGGATTTGAAGGTTGATATGGAAGTATTAATGCTGTATTAATAAAATGTTTACTGTCACAACATGCAATGAATTACCACGAGGAAATGCTGTTTGCCTTTGTATCATGGTTCTATAGAATTGTACAAAGGGAATAAGTAATAATCCAGCATGATTAATTATTTCTACATAAATTATACGTTGATTGCTTTCGTAATTGGGTATAATAATAAGCCTGATAAGCCATGCGATTGATAAATAATTCGCGCATATAATGAAAAGCGGAGCGATTTGATTGATTACAAGCCCGTGTTATGCAATGCTATAATTTCTGGAGAACTTACGGAATTTCTCTCGAATTATAGGAGGCTATATCTAGTATTGCAAAAGCACCTCAACTTATGCGACTCAAACGTGCAACCAGAAGGAAGCATTCAGATGGCATATTGTATACCTCTGTGAATCATTAAGCGATAACAAATAACTTTCGTAAATTTTCGTAATTAAGTGATTCTTGCGTCTCTTCAAAGGAAAATCCGACGTTAATTTCTACATAAACGTTATAAATTACAAGCATTTTATTTACAAAAATTTATTGCTTTTAATTAATTTGTAAACTACATAATTTTATAATTTAAATGCAAGTGATTATTATCCATATCTGAATCTCTGTCAAATCCAATTAAATTATTGATTAAATTACTTAATGAGTTTTTAACTAACCACGTTAAATTGAAATGAAGTAAATGTGAGAAATTGTGTACTCATAAGAAAGGTATAAAAAATCAGACAATCTTTATTTTCATTGAGTATTATCGAATTCTTTATGACGCTCGGTTCTTCAGGTAGAAAAAAATGAAAGAACAAGGAACAATCGCACCAAATTTTCACCTGAGGGTGAGTCTAACAATTGTCTACTTTCTGGGCACGTGGCCGCCAGTTACGGGCAAATTCCGGTTACCATATCTACTTTATACCGTCTGTAGCTTCACTTTTATACTGGGTATCTTGCTCTCCGCCGAAATAGCAAATGTTCTCATGAACTGGGGAGATATGTCGAAACTCACCGCAGTTATGACCTTGCTAATGACGAATTGCACCCATGCTTCGAAGGTTACTGCAGTTATCTTAAAATTACTAATAAATTTATATATAGTATAATGAATACTATCATACATATACTAAAATAACATACTAATAAATTACAATTTTTAACTTGTTATATTTGTATTTATTACTACCTTTTCTAAGTAAAAATAAAACGTACTAGCAAAATGTTGCGACTTCGTATTTCTTCAGTGTTATCTTGAAAAGAATAAATATCAAATATATTGTGTAACAATTTCTCATTTAAATTATAGAATTAAATAAAATAAATAGGAATGTAAATTTATTTGTTATCTATTGCAATTTATATCTGTTATTAAAATTGATCAATTATAAAAATAATATTTCACTTGCATGTATAGCTTAAAATTTTTAGTAGAATGTTAGCAGAATGTCTTATATGCGCACCTAGCAATATTCTGAAGACATTCTGTAATATTCTGGAAACTTTCTTTAATGTATAATACATAGCACGGAAAATTAGCAGAATGTCCTCAGAATATTTCAAAAGACATTTGAAATATTCTGACGACATTCTGGTGCAAAATATTTCATTTGAAATCAGGAAATATTACAACTAGGATATTTCATTTGAAATATTCTAGAGACATTCCATTTGAAATATTTAACATTAAATTAATAAAACATTACATTTGCAATATTTTCTTAATATTCTGGAGAAGTAAATAACAAAGATATTACCATTTAAATTCTACTTTTTAATTTCATAGAATTTAACTTGGTTAGTTAAAACTGTATATCATTTAGGTTTTAATTTTTAATTCGGTACAGTAGTTTTTTTCGAGAAGTAATAATTTTTGACAGAGAATGAAAGTTGCCATTACTTAGATTGGAATAAGAGGACCTTCAATAAGAATATCTTTGAAAAAGAATTAAAACTACTACTTGGATTGGATAAAAAGATACGTAACGTATCATTTAGGTTTTATTCGAGAAGCACGTATACTCTAAGCATCCTTTTTACCGTTTTTTAAAATGATAAGTTTATCCATTGAGAAATGATAATAAAATCGACATCAAATCGATGTCGATTCGACGTCGAAATCATCAGATTGACATCGATCCAACATCGACTCCATTGTCATTTCTCACTGGATTTTGATTAGTTGTTAAAGCTGAAAAATTTTCCAAGTCCGCTGGCGGTCAGGACTTTTAATATAATGTATAAATCATTTTGAATAACTTCTTACAAATTTTGTATGGTAATTTTGTTTCCAAAATGCAAAAAAAATTTAATTTTTCTGGGCTAGACAGATACTTTAAATAGATTTAAATCTTGAAAAATATTGTGTGAATCAAAAGTGAAAAAGAGATCGATATTTCTAGGTGGCCGTTCTTCTTCGTCGTCAGGCGCGAATCCAGACGCTCCTAGACACAGCCAACAGTCCTGCATTTAGTCGCTACGACAAAGAATATGAGGATTTACTCATAAGCTACGCGTGGAAGGGCATCTTCCATCATGTAATTTATCAAAGCTTCGGCGGAATTGCGGTGTTTTGTTGGGGTTTTACTCCAATCGCTGATTTGGTCGCTGGTCGTTCACGTCAACTGCCCATGGAGGGCTGGTACCCTTATAATACGACGGCGACGCCGGCTTTCGAGATCACCGCGGCACATCAGGGCATCGCTATCATAATTGCTTGTTTTCATAACGTGGCGATGGATACACTGATGACGGGCTTGATCACGGTCGCCTGTTCCCAGCTGGCAATCTTAGAGCGCAACATTATCTCGATTGATAACAAGGCAAACATTCATGGGATGCAGAATGATAATGATAAGGATAAGCCGCTCGAAAGGAGAACTTTAGCTTATCAACTACTCAAGCGATGCGCTATGCACAGCAATATGATATTTCAGTAAGTTAGATGCATAAAAGTAGGGCTTAAATAAAAAACTCGAGCATGTATTGCATGTTAAATTTGTTACAAATAGCTTGAAGCAAAAAAAAGGAGAATCCTGTTCAAATAATTCTTTATTTATTATGTAGTTCGATTAACCATCGAACAATTTCAATTTAAATACAGTGATCGGTATGTAGGTAATATTAATCTGTTATGTCTGCAATTTAGATAGTTCAAATATTTTACTGCAAACTTAGCTAACTATTTCTTGTTGTAATTTGAATTTTCGCTTTAATTTGTATGTGAAATCGTGTTTTGTAGTACTTATTTGCGATGAGGAAGTAGCATTATGAATTAAATGAAATATTGTATGTATGTACATATATATATATACATATATATTATACATATATGTGTATATATATATATATATACACACACATACAGAGTGTCCTAAAAAGGACGGGATACCTGAATATTTCGAAAAATATGTATAAGTTTTACAGCAAAGTGTTTCAGACAAAAGTTGTAGAGTTCAAAAAACTCTATTACTGATCTTATCAGTTTGACCTTTGGTGACATCATCAAGGTCAGGTCAAGGTCACATCTATTTTTTTACAAAAATTGTTTCTTTTATTTTCATTTTTGCACTAAAAATTCATAAAAATAAATTCATGACCTTCATCTGAACAAATGTAATTCAGGATATGATCCTGAATAACATTCAAGAAGTTTTCGTCGATCGGACACCTTGCGTAATGCTAATGCCGGTGGTATTGTAACCTTCAAGCCTTATAACTCGAAAAGTACTTTATGAAAAATAAAATAACTTTATTGTAGTATTTTGAAAAATTCTTGACACCAGTTATTAAAGTCTGGAATCAAAAATATGTGCCATTAAAAAAAAAATTGATGTGACCTTGACCTGACTTTGGCGACGCCACCCAAGGTCAGACTGACTAGATTATTTAAAACCCTACAACTTTTGTAGGAAACATTTCTTTCGAAAATGCTTAGTTTTTGAAGTATTTCACCGAGACTTTATACTCACCCTGTATATATAAGGGTGTCCCAGAATAATCGCCAAATATTTCGTACATAGGTACTGGATTAAATTGAGTCAAAAAGTTATTTACCATTTTGCAATTTTTGCAATAGTTAACAAGATATTAATAACTAAAAATTGCCTAATATTCATTTTTAATAATTTTTTACTCGAGTACTATCAATTTTACAAAAAAGGGTAAGATACAAAAATTATTTATTTTCTTCTTATAGAGCTATATAAGAATTTTTTCAGAATTTTTTATTTACTTTTAAGTACTGCATTTTTTATTGATAATTACTTTTACCAACATAAGAAAATGCCGTACTAAAAAATTCTGAAAAAATTCTCAGAATTTTATGAGAAGAAAATAAACAATTTTTGTCTCTTACTGTTTCTCTGTGAAGTTGATAGTATTTGAGTAAAAAATGATTGAGAACCAATATTCGACATTTCTTCTTCAATTGATGCGGGAGCCGATTTCACATGCTTATTCCGCTATACCCTTTTATGAAATTATTATTACATCTCTATAATATTTAGAAAATTTAATTTATATAAATTTTTTTGAATTAGGTTGCATATGTGAATATGTACTGTATCGAAGCTGTAAGAAAATTGATGAAATTAATTATCCATTTGCATTTTAGCTTTGTTAGCAACTAATTGTATTGATTTTGCAGTTTTACAAGTGAAATTCAGAACATCTTTGGTACCGTTATCTTCTTTCAATTCCTCTCGAATTGCATAATCATTTGTTTGATTGCCTTCAATGTATCGCAGGTAAATCCTATTGCTTTAATCGATTTATCAGCGAGTTCTCACACGACCGGTTGAACCGCAGATGAATGTTTATATTCCGGCGGTGCTGATCGGCATGCTAACATACATGTGTTGCATGACGTATCAAATATTCATCTTCTGCTGGCATGGTAATGAACTGCATCTACATGTGAGTATTTAAACAGATATTCTTATACATAGATGTGCGAGAAAACATGCGCGATTTTTAGAGTATGCGTTTAGTCACGGCCGCATATTCGAGCAATTGGTTCTCCAACACCGAAAGATTCAAACGCGGTCTACAAATCATGATGATAAGGGCTCATCGTCCGCTCACCTTAAGTGCCGGTAGGGTCATGTTATTGTCTTTAGATACTTTTGTGCAGGTATGTATATTTTTATCAGACATTTTGTTAAAACAAAATTCATTCACTCAAATATACTATAAAGATCTAGATGACGATATTGTCTTTCTGGTAATTAATCTTTTGAAAAGCATATGCACTATTTAATCTTTAGTGCAAATCAAAAGCTGCCGCCTCGAGTTATTAAAATAATTCGCATATATTTTTATTTCAAATTGATTTTAAATAATATTTATTATCTGAATCCACACTATAGTAGTGGTTCTGAAACTAAACTGCTTTAAATTTCTAAGTAGAATTTTAGGTCGTTTGAACAAAGGTAATAGCTCTTGTATATTTCAGATAATGCGGACGTCCTATTCTATTTTTACGGTACTTCAAGGATCGGCTGCTTAAAAACCAGTTTGTCAATATCAAATTTCGTAACTATGATATATTTTTTAAAACTACAAAGAGCAACAAATAAAATATAAATGTTTTAGTTTTATTGAATACTGTATCATTATATATATGTGTACAAAAATATATATAAAGTTTTTATATATAAAAATATTCCTCATGGTATTGCCTATATCATTAGAACGAGAAAAAGAATTAACAATCATTTGTTTGATAAATCATACGATGTATCACTCTTATCATTTCATGTTAGTTCGGTTTGTATATCACAATATTTTTACAAAATTTGGCTTAAACCTTTTAATTGATTACAGCGCTTCTACCATCACAGCGATACCTTGACCGCCGCCAATACAAGCAGAACCGATGCCGAATTTTCCAGCTTTTCGTCTTCTGCAAGAAAAATATTGTATATATATAAATCAGAATATTAATAAAAATGCATTGTGTTTTATGCTATCATAAGGTATGTTACCTAAGTTCGTGTACCAAATGAGCAGTGATCCTGCTACCGGAAGCAGCCAATGGGTGTCCTACAGCAATAGCACCACCATTTACATTCAGTTTATTCAGATCCAAATTAAGTTCCTTTGCACACGCTAAAGTCTGAGCGCCAAACGCTTCATTGATCTATCAGAAATTACATAATCAATGCATGACAAGAGTAAAACCTAAATTATATTTTTAATTACATTTTATATTAATTATTTTCACATTTTTACGTTAAAGATGCTGCTTGATGGGTCAAATTTCTGTTGTATAAATTGAAATCTCACCTCAACGATTTCTATATTATCGAGTGTTTTGCCCGAAGCTTTAAGTAAGTCCTTGATTGCTGGTGCAGGACCAATTCCCATAATGCTCGGCTCTACGCCGACAATACTATATCCTACTAAACGTGCCAATGGTTTCAAGCCTTCTGCCTTGACAGCTTCTTCACTAGCTAAAATAACAGCACTCGCTCCGTCACAGATACCCTGAGAACAAGAATAAAGCCGAGTTAATTAAATTTGGGAAAAACGTTATAAAAATTAATATAAAAATTCTATCCATAAAATGAATAAAAGCACAGTACCGATGCAGAACCAGCTGTGACTAATCCATCTTTCTGGAAAACTGGTTTCAATTTGGCAAGTGTTTCTAGCGTCGTTTGCGTACGTGGATGTTCGTCTACACTGACAAATGTATCCTGCTTCTTAATTTTCACTTGCACAGGCGCTATTTCTTCTTTGAAACGACCTGCATCGTTGGCTGTAATACGTTTTCTTAAATAGAGGCTTAAATTTTATAATCTAAATTTATTTAATTAAAGAAGAAGATAAACTACAAATAAAACATAAGATAAACATAAGATAAAACATAAGATAAACTACAAATTTCATACTTAATTAATAGCTAATACATAAAATTTCATATTAAGTAAAATATTGTCGATATCTACCAGCTTTCCAACGTTGCTGACTATTCAAGGCAAATTGATCGACTTCTTCTCTCTTTAATTTGTATTGAGCACCGAGTTTTTCCGCAGTCAGACCCATGGGCAAATTACAATAGGTGTCAAGTAATCCAAGCCAAAGTGAATCTTCGAATTCATATTTCTGGCCCAGGGCAGTGCCATAACGAATGTTTCTCACAACAAAAGGAGCTTGGCTCATGTTTTCTACACCACCCGTTAAGACAATCTTTGAATCTCCCATCAGAATATTCTGAAATGGAAAAATGTAGTCATTATATTGAAATGCTATATAATAACTTTAATTTCTGCAACTATTGTTTAGTAGAGGAGGTGATATTATGGTCAGTGTAGACATAATGGCCCCCCCCGTCCTATATCTTCACTATTAGGTGACGAATATTAATGATTACTCATGGAATTATTTGTTTAGTACTCGCCATGATACCAATAGTCAGCATTTTTCATAACACATTTTTACTTTCAAGCATTTCGAAACGTTTTTAAAATATATTTTATCATTTAATTACACATGCTTTCTCACTCTTTTTAAACTTGAGCGTATTATTATACGAATACATAATAATATATACTTAAATGTGTTTCTTTAACACTTTATGTTAAACATTTTATGTTATGGCTATAATCTATATACATTTCGACTCAAGCAGTGCCTATAAAGTGCCAAAAAAGCTCTTATATGCCCTTTTTCAGCGCTTTCTTAACGCTTTGTAGATGCTATATCGGATTTACACATCTTCGAGGTGGTTGATTAAAGTCTTTGACTTCCACGCAGTACATCTTGAGCAATGCTAACATTGGCGGTACTGAAATTTTAGTCTCATAACTCAGGAAAATCTCAACTAAAGAGTTTGTAAACAGTATTTTGAAAACACCTTGATGTGAACTATTAGAATATGCAATAAAAGATATAGGTTCCCATTAAAAAAATTCAAATCGTCCTTAACATAACATTCACAACGCCACCAAAGGTCAATCACATATGCTCATGTAATGCATTATTTGATCCCGAACAACTTTTATCTGAAACATTTTTCAAAATAACTACTTTCCTCGTTTTTAAATGGGGTATGTGGATGATCTGAAGTACCTGGTTTTTTATTATTGTTCTCATCTCTATTGGAATAATATTATTTGTTAGTTATTCTCTCCTCAATGTTTACTAAATTACTATTTTAAAAGAATTATGGAATTCTTGGCTAACCTGAGCCCCGCTGACAATTGCCTGAAAGCCAGAACCGCATAATCTATTTACACTAAATGCTGGTCTTTGTAACGGAATTCCTGATTTTAATAAAGTATGCCTTGCCAAAAAAGCACCATCGGAAGATGAATTCTATAAAAAATTAAAAGTACGTCAGTTCAGTTAAAAGACCAATGGGTCTTTTAACTGTATGATAACTTTTCATGCATGATATACACACTGCATCATTTATCCGTGTTTAACATTCGGTGAACAACAAGGATAAATGATGCATCATGCGCATCATGCGTGAAACAGAATGCACCCTATGTAAATACTCGTAATTGGTAATTATAAATGGAAATTGATTTACCATTAGAACGTGTCCAAATACAACACTGTCAATCTTCTCTGGTTTTAGACCAGCTGCCTGTATCGCAGCAGTCGATGCAACAACTGACAAATCAGTTGGACTTTTGTTTATAAACATACCCCCCATTGTACCAAATGGAGTACGCTTTGCAGCGACAATAAAAATACCTGTGGAAGATTTCAAATCAATAATTCATTTCTTACTAATGTCCTATTTTCTTATATTTCAACTGATTTTGATTTTATATTCCATTAGACTACTAAAGTTTTAAGTGAAAATTATTAGATTTGTAAAAAATATGACACATGTACTCTAGTAAACATCAATTATAACAGTAACATATTCTACTTATAATGGTATAAATTTTACCAAAACTCTATCAATTAATTCGGTTCCATTTCAGAGCAAATCAGAGTGCTATAAGAGTAAAATAAGCACAGTTAAACACATTTCCATCGACTTAAATTTTGTTCTACAGCACATTAGGTGTTTTGGTGAAGACTAGATCAATAATATTATAATTTTCATTTTTTTTTTATATTTTCCACACAATAATATAAATATAACATACATGTATGTAATAATTACATTATTAAGTAGAAAAGTATAGTATTAATAAAATGTTATTTTTATATTGGTGTTTACATACAGATAGCTACTTGCTATATTAAACTATCATATTAAACTAAGTTGCAATTATATGCTAAAGCACGTATGTTCGATACAAGCAGACACAAATTATACACCGTTTTCTTTTCGAGGCGTTATTTGTTTTGTCTCACTATTATTCCGACTAAACCGTCTAATTAAATCGATTAATTCAAATGACAGATGTCTATTTCCAATTTACCAATGTACACTAATTTTAATCTCGATTTAACTTATTTTTATCTTCTTATAATTCTATGAACTAAAAAAAAATAAATAGTAAAATTTTTACGTAAACTGAAATTGACTGTGTATGTATGTGTAAAATGCCAAACTCGTTTAAAGAAAAATTTCTAATGTAATGTGATTCGATCCAATCTTTTCTTTCAAATATAAAACAAAAAATTAATAACTTTAACTGCAGGTATTATTTGACAAGTGCATCATCACGATGAAATTAATCAGAGTTTAAATCGAGCTTGTTTTTGATGTTTAAAATATTAAACGAGAGAGAGAGGGGGAGGGAGGAGGCAGACAAACTTTATACTTAAATCCTCTCCTCGAGTTTGGATCGGCGTGATGAACCAATAATGCATGTTTCGATCAAGGATTCAGATGAGAATAAAAATTGTGAGCATATACCTTTTGTTAGGGCCGACATCGTAATGAATCACTTCAAGTTACTTTTGTAGAACTACTACGACTAGAATACGACGAAACCCACTCGATAAGATATACTCACTGGGAGCTCAAAGTCCACCAATGTGGATAGAGTCGAACGTTAATCAGTTCATGTTTATTAAAACTTATACTGTCTTATACTTTCTTATACTGTTGTGATCAGACCATGACACAGCACAACATAGCGCTGCGCGCTGCAGGAACTGCTGAAAGAGCAAAGAACTGGCCCGGGAAATTCTTCAACATTCGATTTCACGTGTGTTTCTCTTATTACTGCTTCGTTTCGAGATCATAATTATCTATCATATCTATTTCTATAGTTAGTGCAAGCATCATACGATTTCGCACATCTTTATACAGCGGTTCAATAAGTCATGTAGTAGTACAATATATATTATACATACCATGTATATACATATTAATGAATGTTCTTTTACATGAAGAATTATTCCTCTTGAAAACTAATGCAAATCTTCTCATGTATTTTTTTTCTTTTTCTTTGAAGTATCATCATATCGTTTATTTTAGTGATAATTATTCGGTCATATTTTGTATATCTGTTGATATAATTTAAATTGAATGATTAAAAGTATTTTACTTATACAAGAATTTTTGTCTGTTACCCAGACAATTTGCATTAAGACAATATATGGACTTTCTATACAATATATAAGCTATTTATTACTTATATAAAGTTTTAAGTTTTAAACAATATATTTATATAAGAAATTGATCATAGTTAATTATTCTTCTCACATTCGATTGTGACTGATTAATTTCCTACGGCTTATAAGAATTAAAGCTTAAAATAAACGACTTATTGTAAAATATGTGAATAAAAAATGTATTTATTATGTCTTTTAGACATGTTATTGGAGTAGTAACGTGTAGTATGTACCCATATAGCACAGAAAGACTACAAAATGATTGCAGATATATCTCATTGCAATGTTGTAATATTGTAAATAGATCGCGCAATGTATTTGCAACATAGTTGCAATGTCATAATATCATAAAAATGTCTGCCTTCAGCAAGATTGCGCTGTAATGTAGCAATGTTGCAGTGCAATGTGCCGCAACCATTATTAAAGATAATTCTTTTAGGCCCGGTTGTTCCACCTTTTGGTAAATTTTATCTGTTCGGTAAGTATATAACAAATTTACTTCATTAATTTGTATGTGTATATGTGTGCGCTTAACTCTCCTCCTCTCTCTCTCTCTCCTCTTTACAAGATATTAATATTTTTTTAAACTCTTAGTAAATATCGCGATCTGACTCACTTAAGGAGATTGTAAGGCAAATGCAATATGTTAAGAATTATTTGAAAAATTACAGATTATTCTGAATTGCATTTAATTATAAGTAATACAAAAAATTAGACAGTTGATCATCTGGATGAAATTATTTCAATAAAAAATATTTTTTTTAATTTATAAATACTTTTAATAGAAATATATGAAAATGTATTATAAATAATGATAAAAGTCTCCATTTTTTTATATACTTTATGAATTCAAAAATATTTATGTAAAGTTACATTGAGAGATGCATACATTAATTATTCAGTAAATAAACAAAATATTTATGTTATAAACTAATTGGTGAATCTCAATGAAACTTTGCACAAGTCATTTTTATACTTAAAATATTTCTATAAAAAAATTTAATTTTTATTATTTAAAAAATTTTTGTAACAATTAAACTACCTAATATCAAATAAAATAAATAATCTATAAAAATGTGTTACTTAATAAAAACAGAATGTTATGAACACAACTTTAACATGTATGTAGTTTGTTTAAAGCGTATATATTAATTAATGTGTTTTATACATACCTTTACAATCTCTTTAAGGATATATTTGACAATATGAATGTAAAAAGATTTACGAGATAAGAATCCGTTGATTCTTATCTATGTATAATAAATATATCTATATTTTGAGAGTAAGTCTTGAGGTATTTTACGCTTTAGTCTGCGGTTTACGTAACTTGATGTTAAGATTTTAATATATGGGAAACATCACTTACCTGAGAAAATAGTTTCTAAAACAAAATTTTGATCAAATATTTAATACTTTTACGTTACATATTACATATGTCATATCGATGGTCTACACATATCTTCTTATGTGACAACTTCTATTTCAGTCCAAGAGATACAATATTACGCTTTATCAGAATGTAATTATATAAGACAAGTCAGAATGTAACTATATAAGATCAGTAGTATTTACTATAGTTGTTAATTTTGGTGTTGCAACTCTTCGTAACCTATCAAACGTAATATCGACCATCTCTTCAATGTAATAATAATTAGTAGAAAATTATTCGCATTGAACATTGTTTTTATGCTATTAGCTTAATGGTCGTTGTCAGCATGTAACGTATGATTCTTACCAAGATATTCGTAAATGTTCACTTCAAAGTGTATAGTTTCGAAATGATTAAAAATAACTGAGTTTTTTAAAAAGTTATCAGTATAGCTACGGAAATAGTACTTTCATTACAAAGTAGAAAACGATTTTCAGTTTTGGCACATATTTTATTAAAAAAAAAAAAGACAGGAAACTATTTTTATATAGACTAGTATAAAAATAAACGAACAAATTAAACATCGTAATGCTTGATCTACCTTTTTTCCAATTTGTGCAATTACTATATAAATAAGTATATTTTTTGCATAAATTATTACTACGGGAACTTGCACTTGCATTCGTGTGCATATACAGACAATTATATTTGTCAAATTTGTTTTGTCTAAAAAAAAAGAGAGAAAAGAAAAAGGAAGCTGTACGTAAAAATCATACAGCTTCCTTTTTTCGTTTCACTTTTTTTATACAATTTCCCTTACTTACAAGAGAAGAACGACATGAAACAACCCGTTTAATTCACATTTACGCTAACTTATAGGAAGGTAATGAATTATGTAACAACAGTCAATTAGCAGCTATTTATATTAGCTAAAAATCTTCACTCTTCTTCATGATATTCGACGACACCGGCTTGTTTTGCGCTGTCCACTCCCTGTAAAAAACACCTCTTCTTGTACATCTCGTTTCCTCAATTGTAGAATATATATGTGTAACATAATATGTAACCTTGCCTTACATATAATCATTTGATCAATCTTTACTTACATCTTCAAAGAAAGTATGCATCTGTTGCGCCGCTTGTACCGACGAGAAGACTGCCCTCAGAACTCTACGCTCTGGAGGATCCAAGGCGTAATCGATTCCGCTCCAAATACATTCTTTGCCTTCCACCTTTGTGAATATAAGAGAGAACAGAGAATAAGAAATATAACAATATACATTAGCAAAAATATATGCAGTTCTTTGCATATTGTTAATCTACAATACATTCAACAAGACAATACACTCAACTCCAGAAAATATAAAAATATGAACAGTCAACTATAAGGTGACTATTGGAAAATTGTTGAATGGCTATTATTTTGTAACGAATAAACAAAACAAAATTAATTAAACTCTATTGTACAAAAGAAAATCCAGCATTTTCATTAGTATTAGTGCAAAAAGGGTATACATTTATGAACTCACGAAAATGAATATTATGAAAGAGTAGAAAACTTGGCTGATTGCATAGTCAGTGTTTAGAAGACATGAGCGGTTATTTCTGAGATAAACATTCTTCAAAAATATAATTACAATTATTAATGTTAGAAAATATACTTAATAGCTTTTAAATGTCTCCTGATTATTATGCCAGTTTAAGTGATCGTAATTTCGAAAACGTATATAACTAAACTATGCAACTAACAGTCCTTTTTTATATTTATTTTTACAAATGCATGCACCGTTTCATACCACCCGTACATCCCTTTTATCTTCGTAGAATAAGGTCCAATCGCGAAAGTGTTCAGACAAAAGTTATAGGATTTAAAAAGATCTATTTACTGATCTTATCAGGTTGACCTTGGGTGGCGTCGCTAAAGTCAGATCAAGGTCACATTGATTTTTTTAAATAAAACACCTAACTTTTTATTTCAGTATCTAATAACCAACATCGAAAACTTTTTAAAACACTATAATAAAGTTATTTTTCATTAAGTACTTTTCGAGTTATAAGGCTCGAAAGTCACAGTACCACCAGCATTAGCATTACGCAAGGTGTCCAACCGACGACTAAAACCTCTTGAACATTGTTCAGGATAACATTTATCAAGATCAAGGCCATTGAAGATTATTCTTATTTTCATTTTTGCACTAAAAATTCATTTTTACGTAAAAAGGAAAATAAGAAGTACAATCTCCAACGGCTTGACAAATGTTATCCAGAACATGATCTTGAATAACATTCAAGAGGTTTTAGCAGTCGGTCGGACACCTTGCGTAATGCTAATGCCGGCGGTACTGTAACTTTCAAGCCTTATAACTTGAAATGTACTGAATGAAAAATAATTTTATTATAGTGTTTTGAAAAGCTTTCGATATCAGCTATTAAATAAAAAGTTGGGCGTTTCATTTAAAAAAATCGACGTGACCTTGACCTGACCTTGGTAACGCCACTTAAAGTTAAACTGATAAGATCAGTAAATGGATCTTTTTAAACCTTACAACTTTCGTCTGCACACTTTTACGATTGACCTTGCGAAGGTAAAAGGGATGTGGTGGTCTGAAACACCCGGTATATATAAATTCTTTTTGCACTATGCATCAAAATTACAAATTTTTTCTATAATATATACATCAAGATCAAGGTCACTGGTGCAGTGTCCCTCAATGTAAATAATTATCCTTCTGTAAATTACTTATAAATCGTATATATTCAAATATAAATGTTTTTTTAGTATAAGTTATCATAAAGAAAACGTAGGCTTTACTTAAATGTTATTAAGATTAGCAGAAGAAAAATAAATTCGCAGTATATCTCGAATATGTGTGAATACATTACCCGCATCACTGTATCTATGCTGATAATGGTGTTGCTCGCGTAGTCTTCCGAGTCGTCGAGCTTCAAGACGATTCTCTCCGCGTAGATCTCGGAATCGTAATGAATTGCTAGATTTCCTAAGCCCACACTCTCCCACTTATTGTCATCCGGCCATCTCGCGAATACAGTGGCACGTTTCTCGATTATAGGAAGCATCTCCTGATCGTCCTCTTCATCTTCCTCCTCATCTTCGTCATCCTCTTCTTCCTCATCCACACCATGACCTCGGTCATGTTCTTCACTGTTCTCCGCTTGTCCGATGCATCTTTCACCTGTTTGGATATAAATTAATACGATATGAGACTTTATGCTCAAAAATTCAAGTAGAGCATATGCATAGATTTAATTAGAGAGTGTACATCTATATATATATATATATATATCATTGAAAAGCATGCGATCGTATTTTTACAGGGCCATTCATAGCAAACTTTACAATGTCGTGAAACACAAATAACAGCTACAGGTATAACCGAATTTTTCTCAAATATAATTTGAAAAAGCAGACACATGTGCAAGATGCATAATAGTTTATTGTGATTGATAAAGTTTACAATAAATTTCGAATAAAACAAATTATTGCAGTCGTTTAATATAGCATAAGTAATGATTTTACAAAATCAATTAATCATAAAATTCATAAAATATCATAATCAAATATCTTATAATCAAATAACATTATTTCGTTTAACATTAGAAACGTATGCATTTTCAAATGCTTAGCGTTGTACAGATAGCAGCAACGAATAGAATCAACGAACGAGTAGAAGTGTGCAACTTGATAATCTCGTGAGTTAACTACTACCTTCAGCAATTCTCTTCTCGCGCAATTCTTGCTGAATGTTATCGACATGTGCCTTGAATTGCCGGGCCAAATCGGACGATTTAAATTTAATCGCTAACTGTTCGGCGCAGGGTTCCTGCTCGGCATAATTCATGCCGGCCCACATCCAAGCCTGGTTTGATGTAGAAAGCGGATGGAACTCTACGTCGGGAGTGATCAGGAAGTTGCAGACGACCTTGTGCACTTGCTCCCGACGTAACAGCAACCGATAGCTGCCATGACCTACATGATGCAGGATCTTCATTTCACCGATGCCACGCTCTTTCCACTCCTTCGTGGCATTGTCATATCTGTACAACTTGGCTCTTTGGCAGAACACTGTGAACGAATAAAAAAAAACAGCTTAGAAAACAGAATTCGAATAGCCTTGAAAGTGAATGGCGAATACTGCCTCTTCTTCAAACGTTCTTAAGTTAACAAAAATATTACCTCGGCCGGGAGTCGAACCCGGACGGAATGCAAGAGATCCGGGTTCGACTCCCGGCCGAGGTAATATATTTTTCGCAATAAGAATTAATTATTTATAGATTTTAATATATCATTCAACATTATTAAGATCGTTTCGAAGATGCGAATAAGCATAAAAAATTTGTTAAATTGCTAGTCAATTTAACTCATGATATTACTGCGGTAGTTTAGTAGAATTAGCGTTTCAAGACCGAAAAATCATTTGGGCGCGCGTGTCTAAGGACTACATACGTAGTATATAAATTCACACAAGAATCATACAAGCATTTAAGATCTAACTAGACCGTTTAAGGTTTTGATTTCTATAGTTTATGTTATCACACATATATACAGTCCTATAATATATTATACAATTTAATATTAATATTAATTAATCATTTATTAACTCGGGAATAGGCTAGAGATTCATGAAATGCTACAGATGGTCTGACTACGAATTTCTGACCATCGAATTCTTCCCAAGTTTCACAAGAAATTTGATTCTGTTTTGTTAAAACATCACGCTTCATTCTGATGGCGTACAAAAACTATTCTCACAATTATTTACACAAAAAGCTGCATGCGCAATCGTATCGTTAGTGATCAAACTTGTACTGAACGTGTTCATTCTTACTACATGCCACGCCACCATAAAAATCCACAGTGTTGCTACATTAGCAGAAAAAAATTCAGTGCATGAACTTTTTGTCCGTATCACATAAACATATATTAATATTAAATTAATTTCATATAAATGATTTACTAAGTTAATATAAACATTAACTACATTGATAAATATATAATTCTTCAAACAAATCTCCTTGTATCAAGTTGAAAGATTCCAATTGAAAATAATGATAAACAAAAATATCTAGGCTACCTTTTTCCTCATCTTCTTCGCCAGTTCGGACTTCAATGGTATCTGGTAAAGGTACAATAGGTTCAAAGTGAGGATCGTGCTCCTGTTCATTATCTACTTCGCCATCGTCTTCATCGTTTTCTTCTTTTTGTTCTTCGCGCGATGTGTTTCGAATCGTCGTCGAACTATTCAGTGATGTAATGGATTTCGAACCAAACACCGATGATCCCGCGCCAGCGAACGTAAAGTTAGGATCTGAAAGAAGTATCAATTCGAAAGTTAAAATACTAAAAGTCTTGCACAAAAAAAATAGAGGAAACATTTGAGAAAAGTTGATGCTTTTAATAAGATAGACAAGTTATCACGCTGGGAAATAATTTCAGACTATTCGGTTCATATTTATTTGAGTAGCAATAGCTTTTCTGACTACGTGACGTTATGACATACCGACTTTAAAGGCCTCCGGTTGCACCGCCGTCGCAGCAAGCGCCGAAAATGACATGTTATTTGCCGATAAGAAACTGGGACTATCCTCATTTTTCTGAACGTCATCCAATGGTTTTAATCCGAAAACTGTCGCCGTCGCACCAAAAACATTCGTCGCATTTGTTGCCGTACCAAAAACGTTTGCAGTTGCCGCCGTCGTTCCACCAAAGATATTTGTCGTTACTGGTGCCGTCGTCCTGCCGAAAGGATCAGTCGTCGCCACCGTCGTCCCACCGAAGATATTTGTCGTTGCTGACGCCGTTGTTCCGCTGAACAAATTCGTCGTTGCGGTCATTCCGCCGAAGATGTTTGTCGTCGTTGTAGAATCACTGAACGGCAAAGCACTATTGCTACCAAGCGTCATTTTAGAGAAAGGCGTGGAGTTGACGCCGAATACCGAGTTAGAGGACTGATTGGATGCGATTGTCGACGTAGTGATTACGGTCGATGTTTTCGGAACAAAATTTGCCGTAATAGCTACGGTAGCAATGGAAGAAGAAACGGAACTGTTACCGCTGTCCTTATTAAAGATTGCCGTTTTCGGCGAGGTTTTTGAGGCGCCGCCGAAAATGTTCGTGTCGGAATTGAAAGAAAAAGTAGACGGCTTGAATATGGATGCCGTCGATGCAGCTTGACCAAATATCGGACTTTTTCCGGCTGTGTTAGTCGCATCGAAAGCAGTTGTCTGCGTCGTTTGAGCATTTGAAGAACTACAGATCTTGAGATTTTCAAGCGAGACACTCGATGTCGTCGTCGCTGTTGTCTTTTCCATCGTTTCGTTAGTACCGAACTGAGGATTCATGCCGAATGAGAAAGTCGTGGTTTTCTTGTCGTTAAACAACTTCAAATCGCCAGTACCAAAGCTCATCGTGGAGCTGTCGATATTGGGAGTAGCCGAAGACTTAGACGTCGCGGTGGATGTCGCGAAAGAGAATCCATTCTTCACAGACGCAGATTGCGTTATGTTCCGAGTAATCTCACTGATACTCTCAGGATCGCTCAACGAACTTATACCCAAGCTTGAGATGTCTTTCGATTGCGTTGTCATCTTTTTTTCTTCCGGCATAAACTTCGTCGTGTCTTGCCCAGCGGTATCTGGATATAGCGCTATGCTCGGTTTCCTACAACCTCTGCAGCCGGGGCAGTTTTCTTTTTGCTTGTAAGAATAAAAGTTTGCTGGTAGCTGCAACTTTAAGGCGGCTGCTTTCTCTTCCGGAGTGACATTCGCCTCGTAAACAATCTCGATCTCTTTGACTGGTGAGCTGATCGTTTTCGTCATGGATTTACTTATCTTCTCACTACTGCTGATAGTGGCGGCCAGTTTAATATTTTTCCTGGCGTCATCAATCGCTTTTTTGAAATCTGCTGCGATCTCGGATGTCTTAAAGCGGCAAGCGAATTGCATGTATTCAATCTCGCCTTCGCTGTAATCCGCAGTGGTCCACAGCCATGTTTTCTCGTCCTTCGATGTGAACTCTAACTCATTGGAAAGTATATGGTTTAGACATAACTTTAATACGTGATCCCGACGCATGATCAGCCGCAGTTTCCCGGTCTCTTTGTGACACAGCAGCTTAATATCACCCAATCCACGTTCCTTCCATTCCTTCACCGTGGTGTCGAACCTGAAGAGTTTCGCTCGATGACTATAGAGCATCTCTTCATCCTCCTCGCCAGTTTTCACCTCGACTTTGTCCGGCAACGGTATAACTGGCGAGAAGTGGACATCTTCACTTTCAACCACCTCGTCTTCGCTGATCTCGCCACCGCCGCCGCCAGGCGATTTAGCCGGTGACTTGGCCATAAAATTAAAGCCGAAGGACTTAGCGGGTGAGCCGAACGTAAACGGTGAATCGCCTGTGTTTAATGTGGTGCTGCTTTTCACCGGCATACCGAACATGAAATTGGTGCCCGTAGTTTCCTCGGATTTAGATGGAGTCTTCACGATCTCACTTGCGCTCTTGTCCTGTGACATCCTGAAACTAAAACCAGTGATGGTCGTTTCCTTGGCGGTGTCTTTGGGAATGCCGAAAGAGAATGTGGTCATAGGCATTACGCCGGAAGATGATGCGTTCATCTGGAAGATATTAGCCTGCTGCGGCTTAGGCGGTTGCGATGGGTCCTTGGAACTATCGCAGGCGACGCAGTAGGCGTTTGTTCCGGAATTGACAATGTAACATCCTGTGCAAGTCCAGGAGCCGGCGGGTGACTTAAATAGCTCCGACAACGGTATTTTGGAATCAATGGGTTTACTAGTAACTGCGGAAACGTTCTTATTACTCGTCGCAGAAGATGACGGAGCTTCGCAAGCTAAGCATTTCATATCCGTGGAATTATTTCTAGTGTAACAACTAGTACATTCCCAAGAACCAGTTGGTGGTTTAAATAATTCCGACAACGGTGGCTTCGCTTCCGTGACGTTTTGATTGTTGCTCTCGCCCGACATCTGAACTTTCTTTTCGAGTGCCTTCGCGACTTCGTTCGGACTACTGCCTTTAGCTAGCTTCTGCTGACAGCTCGACACGGCATTGTAAAACTGTGACGCCAGTTCCGACGTGTTGAAGGTCGCGGCGTGTAACGTCCAGGTCTTACCAGGTTCTTTAACGTTTCCAGGAACAGTCCAATTAACAACTGTAGTGCCATTCTTGTATGTAAACGCCATATCCGACGGAATTCCGTGACTATAGATCTTGGAGCTTCCGTCATCCGTCAGTAACAAGCGAAGCTTGCCGGATTTTACGTTCAATAATAGCATCATTGATCCTGTACCCTTATTTTTCCACTGCATGGCGTTGGTACCGTTGACAGATTGACATTGAAGGCTCGCTGTTCCGACAAATAACTTGTGCTCATTTTCAGTCTGTGGTCGTATTTCGTTGTTAGACGATCCTTGCTTAATGGCGCCGGGTGGTGGCAAACGAGGTCTCCTTAAGGTTGTAGAATTCTGACCGGTTGTTGTGGATGAGGCAAACATCGGTGATTCATTGGAAGCTGTGCTCACAACAGACGACTGCGAATTTGTTGTTGAAGTCGTAGCGAAGATAAAGCTCACAGATGGCATCGAGACGGCGCTTGTTGCAGTTGCGGTCGTGATTTTCGTTTCGGATTTATTGATTGATTTGGTGGTAAACGAAAATCCGCTGAATGGACTGACTTTCGGTGGTTCGTCGATTTTCTTAGAGTCATCTGCTTTCGTGTCGCTGACTTCTTGAATAATAGGTTTAGAACTGAAGGAAAATCCTCCTAACGTTGTCATACCGGATTTCGATTTGTCAGAAAAAACCACTTCCGTTGTTGAGCTTATCTTATCTTGTTGTGTTAATTGTGATTTTTGAGTCTTGAACGAGTCTTTGTCGCTAGAAGAAGCAGTGAAAACTTTCTCACTGATTTTGTACGCCTTTTCCGGAGATGTTGCAGATAAACTAAATCTGGCCTGATCGAAAGCCTCCTTGAACGTCATTGCTTCCTCTGCGGTTTTGAATCTAATGCAAAATTTCTCCAGCTTCACTTCCTCATCAGCGAAATCGTTAGCGACCCAAAACCAAGCCTTGTTGTTGTTCGTCATTGGACTCAACTCCATGTCGGGCCTCAGCATGTGATTCGCGCAGATCTTCAGGATCTGATCGCGACGCATAAGCAGGCGCACTTTACCTTCTGTATTGCGCAGAAGTTTCACGTCACCGACGCCGCGTTCCTTCCATTCTTTATCAACAAAGCGAAACAGTTTTGCCCGACCGCAATACAGAGTATCCTCGTTTTCTTCACCAGTGGTGACTTTCACCTTTGCAGGCAATGGTATGACGGGTATAAAGTTCGGTATCGGATCATGCTCCTGCTCGCACACCTCTGTGGATGTATTCGGCGATTCAATTGACTCATAGGTATTGTCGGTTTTGTCATGTATCTTACTACTATTAGTAGCATTATTATGAACGTTTTGTAAAGTACTACTGCTAGTTGTATGAGTCACAGTGACAATAGACGATGATGTTGTTAGATTGACATAGATCGGCGGCGCATTGATGTTGGCTGGAGTTACATAAGAAGAGGTTGGTGGTAAGTTGACAGTGGTCGGTATAGTGGCTTGCAGAGGCATGGGAATCTGATAGCAATGCGGTACATTGGAAGATGGCGATTTTGTTGTCGTCATTGTCATTGTCGTTATAGGCGTAGTAGAGAAAGTGACAGCTACTCCACCTCCTAATCTATATTGCGGTGGTATAGTGACACTCAGGGTCGGTTGAGTAGATGGCACCGTGGTTGGTAGCGTGTCGGATGTCGTGATGACCACATTCACAGGAAGTGCTTTGTTCACCGGCGCATCTTTGATAATTGTCGTTGTCGTCGTAGTTGTCGCCGTCATTGTTGTAGCTTCGGACTTAGTTCGTGATGGAGTTTCGATTTTCTGCTTCAACGACATTTGTAACGATGGATTCGTCGCGGTTGCCGACATGAGATCGGGCAGCTGCGAGGAAAGCGTCGATGCGAAGAGGCCTTGTTGCAGCGGATTATCCGGCACTTTTGTCTGATTAGGATATAGCATGGGCATAGGATAAACGGTGTGTGGATAAAGAGATGATATGGCTGCCTGAGTGTTTGGATCGGGGAATGGTAATCCTCCCTGATAATACTGAAATGCGGTTGCTGCTGAAGGATACATCAGCGATGAATAAGGGTGCCGAGCATGCTGCGGTGTAAATATGTTACCGGAAATCGAAGACGCCGGCCCAGTCGGTTGATTCTGATAGTTTAAATCGACGTACTCATCATCGTCAAGGACGTAGAAGTCTTCAGGATCAACAGCGGGATTTACACTCTGTTGCTGCTGTACACGCTGCTGCTGTTGTTGTTGCTGCTGCTGCTGCTGCTGTTGTTGTTGCTGCTGCTGCTGCTGCTGTTGTTGTTGCTGCTGCTGCTGATGCTTTTGATTTTCTTTGCGCGATTCCACTACTTCCTTCGTCAGATTGTCCATTTTCTCGGTCAACGTTTTCATTTGTGTCATCATGTTTTTCATCTGCTCCATCATATCCTGTATTTCGTTGTCCCGAGACTGCATAATTTGACGTATTTGAGCATCAAGGCGCTCTGGGCTTGGACGTGCCTCCGTGCGATTCTTTGATAAATTCAAGTAATCCTGCAATCTGCACGGTGTGCTAGCGTGTTTTGGCGTCCGATGAATGTTCCTCTGAGGAGTGCTTAGCATGTTCGAACCAGTCAGTGTCGTCAACATCGGTAACGTCGGATTCGTGACCGCCTGATCCACAGCGCTGTGAGTGGGCGAATAACTCTCATCGGATATACCATCGATATCGTTTCTACTCAAATCGCCCCTTCCTAGATCCGGATCTATTCTCTTCAACTCATTCTCAATATCAGTGATGTGAGTGCCGAGCTCGGAGTTCAGTGGGTGTTTAGGATTCGTGCCCGGACTACGGAGTCGGTCGAGCGTAAGATAAAAGCAGTTTCTCGCTTTTGACAGCATTATGATGTGTTGCGATCGCATTTCTGACGTTAAACTTTCACGGGGCGTGGAATCCACTATCTCGTCCGCAAAGATTTTGTAAATCTGCGCCAGCTGAAATGACGCCTCCGGGCATTTAAGCGCCTGCAACGCGTCGATTGCCTGCTCGTACTGTTTATCGCGTACGAGTCGCTGGGCCAATAGCAACTTGCCTTCCTCAAGCGCATTCGTCAGTTCAAAATTGTTCATTTCTTTACCCTGATAATTGAACAACTTCGACGGAGATATACGTAATGTTTGATTATTCTGTAGCCTCTCTAACAGCGGTAGAGCGGCGGTCCAGTACAGTTCGGAGCGTGCCTCCCATCTAGGGATGTAGCCATTCGCCTCATCTTTCTCCTTCATCATTTTCGCACGATAATGAAACATGCGTGCCAAATGTACCAATAACACTGGATGCATGCCGTGGTTGCCAATGCAGCGAATTATTCCCAATCCCTGTTGCAATTCTTGTCGTAATTCACCGATATCACCGTCTACATCCTCTCGCTTGGAGTACATCTTGTATGCCGCCGACCACCATTTCTCTTGATTACTTGTGGATAGCGTCGTGGTAAGATCGATAGGCAATGTCGGTAATTTTTCTGGATTCACAAAGCTACCAAGTTGCTGCTCCTCTAGAACAGCGGATGAGCAGAGTATCGATGCGTTGAGGAACGCATCGATATCGATGAGACACAAGCTGTCGGGTGCCGCTTGATTCGTGTTAAATACCGAAAACTGTAATGCTGGGAATACGCGCGAGGTTTGATCTGGATACGGAGCATCTTTGTTCTGAGGCCGATTCTCCATTCCAAGCCAGATTTGATGATGCAATGAATCAGGCCACACCTCTTGTGCGACTGCAAACAAAAAATTAGTGTCTATTGTTTTTTTTTTAAATTGTTTTCCACCGTGTGACGGTATACTTATTCTGTACATTATTGCAGCTATTGTAAAATTGAACTCAGAATTAGAGTTCTAAGTGTAATTTGATATTATTAATTGTAACAATTATCCTTCTTATCTAATAACAAAAACAAATGCGATATACTTGTTATGCAAATTAATAAACTGCAAAATAAGTATAAAATTCTTGATATTATCCTTGCGTATTTTAATCTAAAAACAGAAGGAATAATAAACGTACTTTGACTATAAGTCCTTAACTGATTTGCAGTACACATGCGTAAAGGTGGATCAGGAGCTGAATGATGGCAAAAAAATGAATTCCTTATATGATCAAGGTGTATTCGGGTTACAAAAATTCTCTGCAAAAGAAAAGCCACATTAAATGTACATCAAGATAGTTTCACTATCAAGATTTGTATGAAGCGCGATTCGTACCTGATAAATCCGTTCTCTCCAGAGTCCTGTGCAAAATTTATCAATTCTATCCATCAGCTTTTTCGTATCATCCCTAGCATAATTTTGAAGAACGTAACCTATTAAAATAGAGAATATAAAACCGTTAGTAAAAGTTAGACACTTAAAAATATAGTAATTTTTTGCTCATTATAATATATATCCTTTCGAATCAAACCATTTTCCCCCGTGGTATTTTCTCGTATCATCGAAAACGAAGATATTTTAAATATCAAGTTACAGGAAACACTAGAATATCATTATCTTCAAATAGTAAGTTTCAAACAAATCTTAAAAGTCATTTTTAAATAATGTTTGCGATACAACCACTTTAAGAATAAAAAAGATCTGAAAATTCCATGTTTTCCATGTTTCTCGTAGTAAATACCCCGTTACAGGATAATTTGTCTCACATACCAGCTTGGCAACATCGATATGCTGCCTCTATTGCCCACATATTGAATTGATTCTTAAATTCATCCTCTAATTGTATGCGCATACGATTTTCCAATGGGGCCACATGTAATGCAGTTAATAACAGCGGTGAGCACAGTCTTCCTGCTTCGTTCCAACTGCCTTGTTCGCGTTTCGTTTTGCGTAATAGCAAACACGCCAAGTGGAAGTGTAACTGGCCCCACATATGCGTAAACAAGTGCTCCGTAAAGGTGTGTTGTTTAGAAAAGTTTTTTGACTTCATCTCGTTCATATTTTGGTCAAAACTGAATCATAATATTTGTTTCATAAATATATCATAAAAATAAACATATGAAAAACAAATAAACGCAATTACTTTATTTCTAAAATATGTAAGGTATATTCTACAGATATTATATCTAGAGCTAGTTTTATCACTGTTTCACTTATTACCACATTATAAAATACAATTTAGTTTATAGACATATTGATACACTTACTTAAATACTGCTTGAGCTGCCTCTTGAATGCTTTTCTTCGTTTCACCTCCTTGCTCCTTAAGACATAGTCCCGCATATTTATCAGATACAGATATATAGAACAACCAAAAAGACCAGTCAAGAGATTTAGTCTCTTTATATTTTGTTAATAATTCGTACAACAGTTGATACCACACAACGCTGTCCTTATGAGGGACAGTGGCCTCTACACTAATGGCATGCTCATAAGCTTTATCCAATCTATGCTCCGACATGTAATAATTTAACAATTTGATACGAAGTTGCACATCAGTCGGTCTTGCAGCCAATTCAGCTACAAAATTTCACCTGTTAATTCTCCGTTCTTTAATTATTCTATTTCATAATAATAATTACTTACATGCGATAAGTGCCTCAAGATCCTCACTGCTGTTGTTTGGTTTCTCTATAGTCAAAAGTTTTTCTTTTAATTGAAAAATTACTGGATTATGTGGAAATAGTTTGTCAGCTCTCTCTACCCAATACTTCAGTTTAGTAACATCCATTCCTATGTCCATGTCAACCAATAATTCGCATACTAAAAAAAAAAGCAAAAAAAGAAAGTTTAAATGTTACATTGACATAAAGTGTTGAAAGGACAATAAGAAGTAAATATAAAAGCGTCAGCTTCTTACTTTTCAAGACCAAATCATCTTGCCTCCCTTCAAGTTCGAGGGAAACTTTGTACTCGTTAAAAGCTGCTTCCTTTTGACCAAGTGCTTCATAAGCCTGACCCAACAACTTATGTGCACTGGCAGAACTATCTCGTATCTCTAAGTAATTAAATACATATCTTTTTGTGGACTCATAATCACCTACTTGATAATACAGTTTGGCAACATTGTAACAACGAAGATTTTTCTGTAACAAGAATCACAGATACCGACGAGTATTAGATTCTACAATCCAAACTCAATATATTTTGAAATTTGTTATAATTTTTTTCATTGCAACAAAAATTTAGTTTAAAAGATGGCAATTGACTACATTTGCACAGCACGCTTAATCGGATTTAATAATCCATAGTTATGAAATTGGCCAATCATAACTGTCCCTTGGAAGAATAGAACAACTGTGATTGGTTAGTTTCATAACTACAGATGTTATTAAACCCGATTAAGAATACCATATAAATATTAAGCAAACACAGAGGATGAGTTTGCACCTAACGACCATGTCACGATAAACACGAACGAATAACAGCTGCAGTCAACTGGATAAGATATCTGAATTCATCGCCATCAGTATCCTGCTGAAAAAATTTTCATATTTTATGTTACATATCAATATTTTTAAGGATTTTTCATTATATCGTTAATTTAGAATACATTAAAAAATGTATACTCATCATTTAATACAATATTACGTTATAATTAATACATTTTCATATACATTCATTTTATTGTTATGAAGTTTTTTGAAAAATATCTTAGACTTGTTCAGATTCTATAAGTTTTTTTTCGGAAATTACAGAACGAGAAATTTTAGAATATTTCGAAATTAAATAAAGAATTCTAGAAAAAATGTACATTCACTTCATCAGCGTTTTGACAAGTACTCTGATATGTATATTAAGAGATTTTCTAAAAAGTTGCAGTCATATAAAAAACGGAAATTTTGAAATTTAAATTAAAAAATTATGAAAAATTATAAGAATTCAAAGAAAACTTTTCGTCGAGATATCGACAGCACAAGAATAGTTTCCCGCGAAAATTCGCCATGATTGGCAAGTACGTCGCGCTCTCGTCTGGAATGACTCAAAGGTTTCCGTCCGCTGACATTGATCTTGTTTACACCGAGCACTTAATACGCGTATTAACCAATAACTTTCCATTAAGTTGTTTTAATTTCGGCAATGCACGTGTAAATGTACGTACGATATGGATATTTTATTAATCTAGATGCATATGGCGTACTACAGGTTACTACACCATTCTTTAATTGTATCGCCGAAACTAAGATAATATGATAGAAGGTACTAGTATTAAGTGCTCGGTGTAAACTAGAATATCCGGATGGCTGAGCAGTCGTCGCTTGATGCATCGAAACATACCGAAAGTACCTGTTCTCATTATTGGTATTGATGTAGGTTACAATTTGCAAATAGAGACAAGAAAAGAAAACCCATGAAGCAACGAATGTCGGAAGGAAAAAGAAAATTTCCGAGTTTCCCCGAGTGCAACGGTAACCTCACCTCGTTCTCGTTTCGCAGCTTGCAAAACACGTTCTGCACGTGGCGATCAACGTCTTTCTTCGAGCGAAACATGATGTTGCCGGTTGAACCGGCCCTGCAATCTGCGACACTTTCGTCGTATCACACAATCGACACCAATCGTTTTCACAACTTGCACACTTCACATCGGCTCATCGCGAAAATTTATTTGCAACGCAACGTATCTCTTTCAAACGGTCTCCCGTCGACCCTCGAATCCTGCGCCGCCAACAGTAACGATCGTTAACACTTATTTCCCCCAAACAGAGTTTAGGCACCTATAAAATACTATTAGGGTGAGATTACATGAAGGAATGGCTGCGTTCAGCAGACTCTACAGTTTTGCAACCGTTTTATGATTCGTCGCGCTGATTGAATTATACTTTTAGATTTAAAGGAATAGTCGTATCTCAGCGAAGAATCACAAAACGGTTGCAAAACTGCTGAGTCTGCTGAACGGGCGTGATCCCGATTGATCACGGCTCGATTGGACACCACCAATCACAGCGACCGGTGCTTAGGAGCTTTGTAGTCTCAAGCGCTGTGAGTGGCTCGTGTCCAATTGAGCCGTGTCCAACTGAGTGCTACCCCTGTCGCAACAAACTTGTGATCGGCTTGCATCTAAAGGCCCGTCTACAATACACGGAGTAAGAAGTAAGAGTAAGAAATTGACCAATCACAGTAGATTATTCTTCTCACATTCGACTATGATTGGTCAATTTCTTACTCTTACTTCTTACTCCTTGTATTGTAGACGGGCCTTAATGTAAAAAATGGACTTTACAATCTGAAATACATTTCACTTGTGACCTGCGACCTGCGTCTTAAGGTTTTGGTCAATTTCTTACTCTTACTTCTTACTCCTTGTATTGTAGACGGGCCTTAATGTAAAAAATCGACTTTACAATCTGAAATACATTTCACTTGTGACCTGCGACCTGCGTCTTAAGGCCCGTCTACAATACACGGAGTAAGAAGTAAGATTAAGAAATTGACCAATCACAGTCGATTATTCTTCTCACATTCGACTGTGATTGGTCAATTTCTTACTCTTACTTCTTACTCCGTGTATTGTAGACGGGCCTTTATGTAGAATGGGTTTAAGATATTAGTTCTCTGCCAGACCACTTGAGGTCTTTATTATTCTCTGTTTCCATCACTCAATACAGATAACAGAGCTTGCGCTTCTCTTTGTATATGTTCTGTGGATCGCGCAGTCCATTCTCTATGGCTTTTCGCTGAATGCGACGAATGTGCATCGCTTCTATCCGATATGTCATGTTACTAAAGAAGTTAAAGTACAATGGTAGAGGAGGTTGTTAATCCCAGCATTAGAACGAAAGTAAGAACATTGAAATTGTGCATAAACGAGATCTCGCAGTGAATTTGTGTCTTAAGGCAGATTCACAGAATTACATTGTTGACATATACAGCTAATGATGCTAGTGTTGCATTTGTATTAAATTTCGCGAAATATTGTGGTCACAGTGCAATGCGCATGTAACCAAAGTACGTACACATGACACAGTATGAATTAGGATAAAGATTTAGGGGCTCCGCACAATAAAAGGAACTGTTCCCTGTTCCTTTTATTGTTCGAAGCCTCTTACGATACCCCGGTCACCTCAAATTTGGTCATTCTTCAGAAGAGCTACCTCACCTCCAATTTCGATGAAATTAGGCTTATTCGACGCGTTTTTGTGTGAAAGGAAAGAATCTGGCAGAAAAAAGTCCGCGACCGAATCCGATTGATTATTTATTGGCCGAGATTGCCGAGAAAGCATTTTTGGTCGCTTGAAACAAGCGATTAGTGTGACAACGAGCTCGCTGTCTCGTTCACTCTCGGCACGCCGAAGGCAAGCACATGTACTCCTAAGGACTTCGATTCTTTCTCTCGGAAATTTTCACAATCTGAGAAATGATCAACTTTTTACATTAATGCTCATAGTCCGTGCGCGATTAACGACACAGCTAAACCTTACGTCTGCTTACAACTAAATTGGACGTAAAGACAAAATAATTTGAATTTTTGAAAGTTTTAAAAAAGTAACTGAGAATTGTAGTAACAAAAGAATTGAAGTCCTTGGGTGTACATGGTTCGTGCTTGAATGTATGACTACCGGTTTTGCCGTCTTATTCTCTGTGTCGTTACCGTCAATGCAGAATTTTTGGCTGAATAGTCAGGAGCCTTAAGAACTCTTATTGCAAGCGACCGCCTCACGTATTACTTTGTTATAACCTGCGCCAAACATAATATCGGATACCGGCTATTTTCCGGAATGTCCGATGCATCTCTAAAAGTATAATACATATCTTGGCGCCGCCAAGCTCTCGAAAAGAAGTATTTTGGCGCCGCCAGGCTCCACCAGGGCCCGACTATGCCAATGCAGAAATTGTTGCCTTTTCCAGAGCAAGACAACTCGACCACGTCCAGTATATTTATGGAATGTACTAGATGTGCAGAAATGGCTGAGACGACACTGCAGCGACTATTATCAGCTATACTATGAACTGTTTCTGCATGTGAGTGTTTTTTACTTTGTCATAAGTATGTTTTTCAAATTTTGCTTTTAATCCTGCTTCTCCATAGATTTGCCGCGTTATTAAGAGAAGTATCAGACTACTGGTTGACAATTACGATTGACGGTTGCCCGGTTCTATTTCAGCCAATTACGATGAACTCTCTACATCGTGATTGGTTGAAGTAGAACCGGGAAATCGTCAATCGTAATCGTTAATCCCTAGTCTGGGCACCAATCAGAAGAAAGAATTTTACTAATTATCTAATAAAAAAATGCTTCGAAACATTATTCTGCTTAAAATTTACTATAGAGAACTATAGAAAAAGTTCTATAGTTTTTAATGAGCATTTTGAATCGGTAAATCCCTATCCCTAATAATTTTCTATGTGAAGTAATGTATAGTTTCCAATAGTTTTTTTTTTCCAATAGGGATTCCACTTCGATTAACACCTATTAGAAACCAAAATACAAAAATAATGTAAATATAAGAAATAAAAAATCAAATACTTTTAACATCATATATTCATCATGATTGAGATATGTCGAACATTTATATGCATGTACATATTTCTGAAAACGCATGGGGTTTCTACAATAGTCGTCAACTTTAACGCTTAATATCTCGATTCGCGGGATTAGGCACAACATTTTATTACCGGATTTCTTTTGTTTCATGCAAAAACGCGTCGAGAATAATTTCATTGAAATTGAAGGTGAGGAGTGTCTTCTAAATAATTACCTACCATAATTTTGTTTCCAAGAAATTAAAAAACTATAAGCATTACAGTGGGATATTTCCTATTATTATCGATAGACCACTGGATGCATGCAATTCCACATAGTATTGACGAATTCTAGTAAATTCACCATAAAAACTTATAAGAGAAAATCTGTTGGAACACATTGGTCAGCCAACGGCCAATAAGTTTTTTCCCATAAAGAATATTTCGACTGTCATAGTTTGAAAACCATAGATACCTATAGGTCGGTACTGTACATGAAACACCATTAAAGTTGATAAGAGTTTAATAAATAAAACACTATAGAAAATTATACTCATAGGATCTTATTGATAACTGTATAATTTCTATAATCGTTCTCGTGCGCTACTATAGAAATTATTGATAACTATAAATACCTATACAAATTCCATATGTTTCTATAGTTTTTATAGAATATTTTAAGCAGGAGAAATTTTTTATAGAAAATTGTAGCATCAAGTGGATCGTAGCCTTAATCGGTCAATTAAATATTGCCAACTGCAAGACTTGAAAACATTATTTTCTGGCGGAGCGCCGAGTACATACCCGATTCGTATAATGCTTTTTCATGATTGAAAATTGCCGTTAACAAGAACCTGTGCTATTATTATCACATCGTTCTTCACAGCTGCCAGAAAATTAGCTTATATTTTCAGTCTTGCAGTTGACAATATTGAAATTTAATCGAAGTTTGTGAGACCGAGCCTAATTCCATGTAGAATGTCGTTAATTATACATTAAGATTTTTTTTTTATTGATGAGAATGTATATTTAGCATAAAATAAAAAAAATCTTCTCTGTCTTTTAAGCACGACATTACAGGAAAGACATTGTTAAGAATAAATGAAAATAGCTTGAGACGGATTGGGATCGATAATGAACAGCATAGGATGGACATTTGGAGAGAAATTATTAAATTGCATCTTAAAACAGATATGTTAGAGCTTAAGGACATTGAGCGACGTGATAATATGATGAACCTTGATCGAAACATATAAAACCTATTGTTGCACAGATATATTTTTTAAATATATATTATTATTAATGGTATGTGTAATACAATATGTATGTAAACGTAGAATATTATATGAAAAATATATTTATTACATACTTAATTTAAGAACATACTTTGTATCAAATCATACAGTTTATATAAGAATAAAACATTGAATTTGATATTATTTATTATCATTCTTATTTATTTAATAGAATTTATTTTATAAACAGAGGATTTGTTGATTTTATTTAAAGATATAATGGATACAAAAATAGACTATTTCGATAAAACTGTAAATCTTTTTTACAAGAAACTCGAAATATGCAGTTTACGTGGAGGAAAGTCTTTAGATTATATTACAATATTTGAACACAAAGATAACTATATTCCTGAAAAAATAAGTAAATGTTTATCGATCACTGTAAATTAAAATGTTGCGTGATATTTTGTGCTTTTTAAACTTTTAAATTTATATATTTATTATACATAATATAGGAATAGTAATATTGGTTTTTTCTTATTTTTAGATTTTTTCGAATGACAATTTACCTTCCAATGTATACAGACGTTGTTTAAATTATTTAAATATTAGTTGTAAACTGATTCTTAGTGCAATAGCAGTAGATGAGATTCTACAAATTCAATTAGATCAAAAGCAGAAGGCTATCTTTACAGATGAAGATGCTATCTTTATAGATGAAGATCATAGCATCGTAACATTTTTTGTGAAAAACCTAAAATATCTGTACCATCAAATTTAAGCAATTGTTCTACAATGTGCTTTTTGTTTCTTGTTTCTTGCTGTTTGTTTCTATTTGTTTTGATCAAGAAGGTAAGAGACAAGCAGCAAGAAACAGTAAACAAAAAGCACATTGTAGAACAGCTATAAGGGGCTTCGCACAATAAAAGGAACAGGAAACAGAGAACAAAGTTTTATAATTATATACAATTACATTATATTTATATAAAATTCTTTTCATGTATATATAATTTTATATATATAATAAAGATAATTTTATATAATTATGTATAAAACATTTTTTTCCGGGGCCTATCAGATTAGGTGTTATACATATACGCCATCTGCTGTTCAACTGTGGAGTTTTCTCAGGAAAATCGCAGTGATTTTACATGAGTGGAATCGCTTATTATTCTTATGCTGGATTCACACTGCATCCGATTTGCGTGGGTGGCACCCAGTTTGACACGGTTCAATTGGACACGAGCGACTCACAGCGCTTGAGACTACAAAGCTCCTAAGCACCGGTCGCTGTGAT